AAAAGGCCCTGTCTATGACATCACTTGCTGCTGCAGCTTGACACAGGTCAGAGTATTTTAGCGGTTGCCATCTTCAAACGGTCGTATCTTAAAAACTATAACTCCTACAGCGAAGAGCTTTATATTGTGAGAATCACAAGACCCAGACCTACATTTTGATGCATGGTATGTCTCTGAAGTATTAAAATTGAAGGCACAGTCGCAGTTTAGAAATTGCACTTCAAATTTGAGCTTTGCAGAGTGAAGTTTCAATGAAAGTCAATGGGCGGCGTTAGTTGCAAACAAATGATTATATTGTGAAAACTATCAGGACTACGGCTTAGCCATTGACATGTTTAGTGGCAGCAGGGATAGCTGAACGTTTTGATATAAGATTTGTGTAGGTAGGCCTGAAAATAAGGGAGTGGTGGCAGTTTAGAAATCATGTCCTGATTTTTCAGCTTTTGCCAGCTCCCACTCTAGCTTTGCCATTCATTCCTATGGGACAAACTTCGCCACAAGAACGACGATATTCTGTGAACCATTCGGCGAAACGTTCCACAAAGTAATAGCAATCCGATTGGGAACAATCTGCACATTTTGGTAAATTTTTGTCTATGTAGTGTAAAAACTGTGGGAGGAGTTAGGGTGGCAAATTTGGCTATAATAAGAATAATAATATATATGTGAGATAACAATAAGTGGTCTTGCTATGCAAGAACACTTAATAATATATATGTGAGATAACAATAAGTGGTCTTGCTATGCAAGAACACTTAATACATATGTGAGATAACATTAAGTGGTCTTGCTATGCAAGAACACTTAATAATATATATGTGAAATAACATTAAGTGGTCTTGCTATGCAAGAACACTTAATAACTAGAAAAGCTAAAATTTCTAGGGAAATTGTGTGACGTGTTCTTGCCTCCACCAGTAGTCTACAACTGGAGTGGGCGGAGTAACTGTTATTTATATAGCACATTTAATTGCAAAGTTGTTTCCCAAAGTGCTTCACAGTTACATTAAAACATACATTTATGAAAACATTAGCAGGTGTACAAAAGGCCCTGTCTTTGACCAATTTCGCCACAAGAACGACGATATTCCGTGAACCATTCGGCGAAACGTTCCACAAAGTAATAGCAATCCAATCGGGAACAATCCGCACGTTTCGGTATGTTACCGTCTATGTAGTGTAAAAACTGTGGGAGGAGTTAGGGTGGTAAATTTGGCTATAATAATAATAATAATAATATATATGTGAGATAACATTAAGTGGTCTTGCTATGCAAGAACACTTAATAATATATATGTGAGATAGCATTAAATGGTCTTGCTATTCAAAAACACTTAATAAAGCAAAAAAAAGGTTTTTTTACAGTAAGAACAATAAGGATGTGAGATTCCCTGTCTGAATAGGTGGTTTTATCAGAGTCAATACAGATGTTTAAACAGCAATTGAATAAATAATTCCAAAATCATAACATACAGGAATATAATTTCTAATTAGTGTGGTAATAGCTTCTTGATCCAAGGAGATATCTGACTGCCATTTTGGGGTCAAAAAGAATTTTTCTAGTTTGTTACAAAATTGGAAACACTTTAGACTGGGTTTTTGGCCTTTGTTTGGATTAACAGCAAAAACATATGTGAGAAAGGCTGTACTCGATTCTTCAGCTCTTTTCAGCTTTGTAACTATTTATCTATGTAATACTTATGCTGTGAAAGCAGCTAGCTTGTCACTGTATAAATCACGTATTATAACTCAATAAAATATTTGATTAACAATGTGTAATAGATAAAGTAATAAAATTACCTTTTTTTGTAAAAAAAAAATTATAATGCATATTGATGGGTATTTCTCTGGTTTAGAACAAATAAAAACAGACTCTTATATGTCAAAACAATTCTAAAATTCCGACTTTTAATATATTTTGGATGCAACAAAAATAGGAATGCTGCTGCAGTTTACTTTATTAAGCTATAGCACATTTAGTATTTAGTTGTGTTATTATAACCGTATCACTTTCATCAATATGCAGATTTCGGGTTTAACATTAAAGTCTGTGTCGTTCACATTTTCTGTCAGTTCTAACAATGAAAGAGAAATTATCATGGAGTGAAATGATCATTTAAATAGCTAACTAAAGGTTAGCTATTAGTCATGCTATACAAGACAAATCCGTTTGTGTAAAATGCAAAGCTGTGAAGGCACATCTTGGGATTAAGACATACATTTTGGATATTTCCTTATGGAAGGAGTCAGTAAAGAATAATGCCCGGCATGTGTGTGCATACATGGATGGCAGTATCAGACTCTTAGAATTTGCAGAAGTGTTAACTAGTGATGTCCCGAACGGTTCGCGAACGGTTCGCCACGAACGGTTCGCCGCGGACTCATCATTGAGTAAACTTTGACCCTGTACCTCACAGTCAGCAGACACATTCCAGCCAATCAGCAGCAGACCCTTCCTCCCAGACCCTCCCACCTCCTGGACAGCTCACTAAGAATGCAGCTTCAAAATGGATGCTGTCCAGGAGGTGGGAGGGTCTGCTGCAGATTGGCTGTAATGTGTCTGCTGACTGTGAGGTACACGGTCAAAGTTTACTCAATGATGAGTCCGTGGCGAACCGTTTGGCGAACCGTTCGGGACATCACTAGTGATAAGTAAGTTTACTTCAAAGGGGAAATATCTATTCACTAGAATTAATACTATGAAATTAAATGCCGAAAATCATCTAGATCTTTTTTTTTTTTCGTGAGATGCTTTGTTTTTCTTTCAAATTTATATTAAATGTGACATTATAATCCACTTCAGATCGGGTAAAACATTGGTGAAATTCCACCTAACAAATGCATGGTTGTTAAATACACAGACAAGTAAACATGTTAATAAAATTCTTGGGAAACTTAATACACCTTTGCATTTTCATATTTACTTCTAAAGCTCACCATATCCTCAAAATGATGCCTCAATACTTCTCTTCGCGTTAAGGGATGGATTTTACAAGTCTATCACTAAGAATTATTACTGACTCATGATTGTATATCTGTTTGGTTTTATATTTTCCAAAGAAAAAGTAAAAGTTGTTTTGGCTTTAATTTTTTTGTTATGTAAATTGGTGAGTCCTCCATGATCGTTCCCTGTGGCTGATCTACCTATTTGTTTCTTACAATGTACATGGCCTCAATAATAAAACGAACAAACAAAGGCTTTAGTCAAAATCTTGAAATTTGAAAATATTAAAATGTCAATAAAAGCATACATAAAAATATATCAAAATAAAAAAAAACTATCAAACTATTTAAATATTTTTAAAAGTATTAAATCTTTTCAAAGTTTCTTCAAAAATATTAAGTAATCATATAACTTTTATTAAAAATATTGAGATACTAGAATATTTTAACGAAAACTTAAATTTCATTTTTTTAAATTACTTAACATTATTATAGAATTTTTTTTTTGTATAAATCAAAAATGTTCTCAGGGCTAGATTAACAGAGAGGCTGAAGGAGCTCTTGCTCCAGGGCCATATAAAAATAGGCCCACAAGTGGGCCATGGGCCGAAGATGATAGGGGAGATCAAAGGTTCTGCCATGCCAGCCAAAAGAGAGAGCTGTGACACTCCCCAACTGGTGGAGAATTCAAACATCTCCTATAACTGTACCAGAGCATTGTCATGGGTAACCACAGCAATGCTCTGAAACTTAATGTTGCACTGGCTGGAGCGAGAGGCAAGTGCGGTCTATACCTGCATGAGGGTGCAAGCATGATAATCAGACCTTCAGGCATTTTTCCCTCCCTGGCCAAAGCAAGGAAGAGGAAGGAGGGAACTTTCATTTATGCAAAACATATATATATATATATATATATATATATATATTTTTTTTTATTAATTTAACCCCCTGAAACCTCTATGCTCCCATCCACCCATCACTGTCCCCATGCCCCCTACACCTACTACAGCCCCTAAATTTCCTAAACCACTACAGCCCCTTTTCTCTCTACATGTCACATTCACCAACGGTACTCCCCTGTCCCAGTGCAGTGGTTATAGATCCTGTGGCTGCTGCACTTAAGTCTGCATCCTCTGTACCTCGATTCAAGGCCACCCGGGGTGATTGTTCTAGCATTCCAAGATGGCAGCCACTGCATGAGGAGACAGGTCTGCAGGTCAGAGGTTGGAGGAGGTGTGGCTGAAGGGCGGAGCCAGGACAAGGATGCATCCAAAATTAGGCGGAGTCCAACAGTCAGTCACATTGACCTCAGGTAAAGACCTCCTACAGATGAGACTGGTTATGTGATTGAGTCACTGCTGTTTAAGCATAGCATACCTTTCAGAAGAGCTTGGTTCTTTTGTACCTGTGTAAGAACTGCTAGCATTTGTTTCCTTGGGTTTCTTGTCCTTGCTGGTTTCATGACTTTGCTTATTCTCTGGATTTTGCTGATTGCCACCTGCCCTGACCTCTGGACCTTCTAACTCTGATTTAGGCCTGATAGAATTGAGCGGATACCTGGATGTTCAGGTCCGGCGGGTTCGGATGAACTTTGAAAAAAAGTCCGGGTTCGGGCTCCAGCTTGACTTCACATTGACTTTTGGCTACAAAAATGCCTCTCAAAAAGTATTGGAAAGGGCTAGAGGGCTGCAAAAGGAAGTAAAATGGGAGTAAGAGTAGGACAAGTGCCCTGCAAACAAATGTGGATAGGGAAATAACATAAAATACATACAAATTAAAAATACAGCTGAGCCATAAAATAGCACTAGATGGAATCTTTGATTTTAGCTTTGGAAGAACATAAAGCAAAATCTAAAGCATGGCTGTCAGGAGGATCAACATAATTATCCATTTAAGAGAGGGTTGGAGTGCAGGGTATTCTCTTTCATTGTTCAAACTGGGCTCAACTCCTGATGCATGGAGAAAAGCCCTGATATATATAGGTATACACCGTGGCATCACAAGGGCCACCCAGAACTGGCTCAACTCCCATCATGCCAAGTTCCCGGAGGAGATCACCCAGCTCGTCATGCTAGAGCACTTTTTTAATGTGCTCCACAACGACAAGGCGAAGACGACGCATTCGTATGTCAATCCATATCAACTTTCGATGTCATTTACTGCGCCTACCATGGTGACCATGGGTAACGGGGAATCAGGGTTTGATTCCATACAGGGACCCTGACAAACAGCTACCACATGCAAGGAAGGCAGAAGGCGCGCAAATGACCCACTCCCGACGCGGGGAGGTAGTGACGACAAATAACAATACAGGACTCTTTAGAGGCCCTGTAATTGTAATGAGTCCACTTGAAATACTTTAACTCTGATCAATTGGAGGGCAAGTCTGGTGCAGAGCGACTGACCCGTGCATGCTGCAGCTGAAACTCCACTATCGCCTGCTATTGCTCGCACAGTCTCATGAGGCGGTGAGTGGGAAGGCCGAAGTTATGCTGCAGTGCAGACAGGCGAGCAGCAGCAGGGTGAGACCGCCGAAAGCATGCACAGCCGCTACAGTGAATGTCACATCCTGTTCCAAGTTGCGGATCAGTCTGATGATGGCTTCTGGTATCCAGTACTCTTTTTACTGAAGCTGCATCAGGGTCCTGGTAAGTGGTCGCACAAACGCTGGTGCTCAACACCATGGGGCGTGCGGTTACCCTGGACCCTGCTAATCCATTCCACACTGTGACTCCTAACTTCTACATAAGGCATACTGGGTCCCTGTCGTCCGACCGCCGCCCAGACAGTGTCTGGGTCCCGGTCACCGGACTGCGAAACTGCGAACGGCTCGTTAAATCTGTTATGGTTCCTTTTATCGCTCCATCTGTTACTTGAATAACTGTGGGAATTCTAAAAATAATACATGCCGATGAGTGCTAGGGGACGGCCGCTCCGCTTTTACACCCTGCTCCCTCTTATGCTGTGCTGGTGCCTCTGTGCGACCAGTGCCTCTTTCTCCAAACTGCATACGTCAATCGCATGACCTTGATTCCATCTGAGGTCTAGGACCTCATCATCCTCCACATCATCTTCCACCCACTCCTCAACCCTGCACTCGTTGCTGGTCTGCACACTGCAGAAAGCCACAGCAGTTGGCACCTGTGTTTTTCCAGCATGTAAAGTCAAACATGTGAAATTGTTTTAGAATTGTATCCAGGCAACAGTTTTCCCTATAAACTGACCTCTCAGTTTGACTTGTGAGGGTATTGCCCCCGAATTACAATATTGTTATATTGGTATTTGACGCTTCTATTTGACTCTCAGATATGAAGAGCAGGCCCCAAAATGTACTATTTAGTATATTAGCAGCAAAACAATTAGAATTTTTACAACTGCCCTGTAAGCGCACTATTAGACTCTTCTATTTGACTCTCAGATATGAAGAGCAGGCCCCAGAATGTACTATTTAGCAGTTTAGCAGCAAAACAATTAGAATGTTTACAACTGCGCTGTAAGCGCACTATTAGATGCTTCTATTTGACTCTCAGATATGAAGAGCACGCCCAAAATGTACTATTTAGCAAATTAGCACCAAGAAAATAAGAATGTTTACAATTGCGCTGTAACCACACTCTTTGACGCTTCTATTTGACTCTCAAATATGAAGAGCACGCCCAATATGTACTATTTAGCAGATTAGCACCAAAACAATTAGAATGTTTACAACTGCGCTGTAACCACAGTATTTGATGCTTCTATTTGACTCAGATATGAAGTGCACCCCACTAATGTACTTTTTAGCACCCCAAAAAAATTTACTTTTTAAAACTCCGATGTAACCGCAGTATTTGACGCTTCTATTTGACTCTCAGATATGAAGTGCACCCCACTAATGTACTAGTTAGCAGAATTCTTTCTTAAGCTGTCCCTCACAGCGGCAGCATGCTCTCCCTACACTAATAAGACCTTGTGTGTGTGCGGCGCTACGCGACTCCAGCTTATATATAGAGGCTGGGTCACATTCTGCACTGGCCAATCACAGCCATTCCATTACTAGGCATGGCTGTGATGGCTTCTAAGGGCACACGAGTCAAATGCTTGGTGATTGGCTGCCTGCAGCCTTTCAAAACGCGCCACTAAATCGCTGAAAACTACACAAACACCAACCCGAACATACAGTGATATGTCCGTGATCGGGTCCGTGGTCAAAAAAACGTAATGTTCGGTACGAACCCGAACTTTATAGTCCGGGTTCGCTCAACTCTAATGCCTGACCCTTCTTTGGAAACCTTTGCCTTGGATTTTTCTGTTATTTTTCTTAAAGCCCCCGTGCCATCACTGTACCAACCAAATCCTGTTCTCAGCCACAGGATCTCTGTGTATAGTGCTTGTAAATGAGAGCTGTTACTGCACCTGAGTTCCATGACTGAAACACGACCCAAGTGGTTTGTTACACTACATTACTATATCCCCTATGACCCCTACGCCCACTAAAATTCCTTTCCCTCCTGTATCCATTACAGCTCCATAACCACTACATCCCCTATCTCCTCTACACCCGCTGCAGCCACCATCCCTGCTATATCCAGTATAGACCTTATTTACTCTGCACCCACTATAGCCCTTTTTTATTATGGGTATTAATTAATATCCATAAATAAAACACAGAAAAATACTATTTCTCTCAAAGGACGACTAATGTTAATATTCTGTTCTCAGTGTATTACCAGCCACATGGCTAAGCTGTCCTCAAATAGTCCCTCCACACATACAAATACATACATGCATTAACACACCAACAGACCCTTTACACATACTGGCACTATAAACACTAATATACATTTACATTCACAAACTTGATGCTTCACAAAAAATAAACCCCTGCATTCACATATAAATTCTGGAACTATATTCAGATACATCAGTGCATTCACATATTTGATTTCCATTACACTAATCCCTGTGTTAACACCAACTCAACTGCATCAGATTTTATCACAGTATCCTGCCAGTTGAGTACCAACACTGCTTCCAGTCTTCAAGCTGTAGAAGATGGATGTCAATTTTGTGCTAAACACTTTTTAGCCAATGGAAGAATTTCTATCTTGCACAGAATAGTCATATGGCTTCTACAGCTTGCGAAGCGAAAAGTGTAGGCTCTTAGTGGGACGCATGTATGCTTCACATCATGACAAAACAGATTGGCTGGTTATGGTGGGACAGCACCAAGGCCACTCATGGCATCAGTACTATGCCAGTAAACTGCTGTAGTTATAATGGTCATACTTTCCCTTTAAGAAACAGACCTCTATGATACATGGTTCATACATATATATTTCTAAATTGTCTCTATGGTTTGTTATGGTTGTAAAAACATGTTGTTGTATTTTTTTATTTTTTATTTACTAATCCAATTTTCTATTCTGAACTAAAATCATTTTCAATAAATTTCTATTTTAGCACTTTCCATATGTGTATATTTTTTAGTTTGTGTCTTTCGTTTTATGTATTTTAATAAAAAAGGCCAACCAAAATATTTACACCAGACTCATTTTATGTAAAATCCTACACAGTTTGTTAAAACATTGAGTCTCAAGAGTTAAATATTTGTTTTACAGTTGCCATCAATTATTTCAGTCCTATTCTGTTGTTTCAAAAAGCTAAATATTCGCAACATTTTAAAATTGGGGTTGCTAAGTAGAAAGCTAATTATGATAAATTATGAACCTTTTGAATAATAATACAATTTACTGTATCCTGTATGCAGATGTAGATGCTGATGTTTTTATTTTTTTTCCCTCTGTGCATTTCTGCAGAAGTAGACATTCTCCTTACATTTTAATTGTGTGATCTATAATTTGATCTAATTTTCTTGCAGTGTTAATGAAAGATCAAATTTATTAAGCAAAATATTCACGTCACAAACAAAATCAATTATCAAAAAATAATTAAGTGAATTGGGGATCCATTATCAGTCCTTACCCAAATGGAAAGAAAATGGATTATAGAAAAGTAGCATTAATTAAAAGCCACAGCTGCTCTACCTTACCACTGTTCTATGTTTAACTAAAAATGTTGATTGTCTGCTATAACTAAAAAAACATATTATTTCATCAATTAAAATTACATGATAATCTTTAACACGTTTATTTACTTTACTGAGCAGGCAGTGGCGGATCCAGAGCCTGATCTCGGGAGGGGCACTTGTAGATTATTTAAATAAATAATCCAGGCACAATAACCACTACAGCTCAGTGTAGTAGTTATGGTGTCAGTAGTGCCAGGATTCCACCCCAGAGTAAGTAGTCATACCGTTTAAGAACAGTTTGACAACTTACCTGGGGTCTGCTGGGATATAGGAGCAGTGGTGTGTGTTAAGGGTGAAGTGTGTGAGTGCGGCAGTGTATGTCAGGGACAGTGTTTGTGGGGCAGTGTGTGTATGGGGACAGTGTTTGTGGGGCAGTGTGTGTATGGGGACAGTGTTTGTGGGGCAGTGTGTGTGTGTATGTGGGCAGTGTGTGTATGGGGGCAGTGTGTGTATGGGGGCAGTGTGTGTGGGGCAGTGTGTGTATGGGGACATGTCTGCAGGGGCAGTGTGTGTATGGGGGGCAAATGACTATGGGGACAGTTTGGGCAGTGTATGAGGACGAAAGTGTGTATGTGGGGCAGTGTGTGTATGGGGACAGTGTTGTGGGCAGTGTGTGTATAGGACAGTGTTTGTGGGGCAGTGTGTGTATGGGGACAGTGTTTGTGGGGCAGTGTGTGTAGTGTATGTATGGGGGGCAGTGTGTGTATGGGGACAGTGTTTGTGGGGCAGTGTGCATGTGGGCAGTGTGTTTATGGGGACAGTGTTTGTGGGGCAGTGTGTGTAGTGTGTGTGTGGGGGGCAATGTGTGTATGGGGACAGTGTGTGTATGGGGACAATGTTTGTGGAGAAGTGTGTGTATGGGGACAGTGTGTGTATGGGGACAGTGTTTGTGGGGCAGTGTGTGTATGGGGGCAGTGTTTGGGTAATGGGGCAGTGTGTGTAGTGGTGGAGTATGTGTGTAATGGGGCAGTGTGTGTAATGGGGGCAGTGTGTGTAATGGGGGCAGTGTGTGTGTAATGGGGGCAGGGGTAATGGGGGCAGTGTTTAATGGGGGGTGTGTGTGTAATGGGGGCAGTGTGCGTAATGGGGCAAGGTGTAATAAGCAGTGTGTAATGGGGGCAGTGTGTAATGGGGCAATGTGTGTAATGAGGGCAGTGTGTGTAATGGGGGCACAGTGTGTAATGAGGGGCACTGTGTGTAATGGGGTGCAGTGTGTGTAATGGGGGG